ATTATTATTATTATTAACACATAGTGAGTGAAGAAGAAACACCCAGTGCATCATGGGAATCCCCCAGCAGCCTACACCTATCGCAGCATAACTAAGGGAGGATTCAGGGTCACCTGGTCCAGCACTGACTATATGCTTTAGCAAAAAGGAAAGTTTGAAGCCTGATCTTAGGAACAACAAGTCAGCCTGGAGTGTGAGAGTGAAGTGCTCTAATGGGGTGATATGGTGCTATAAGGTCAGCAAGATCCTGATAATAATGAATTACAGTCTATTATAGAAGTAATGGCAGATTTGTTTACTCATTTCAAGCAAAAATATCTTGTATTAAGTGAAAAAATCTGCCAATGGAACAAGTGAAAATTCTCCAGATCCAAGATGCACCGTCTAAAAACAAGCTCATATATGTCACTGAAACGTTACTATGTAGCTGACTGTGTATTTTAGGTGTGGTGAGATATGTTTGACTAGAAATTAGACAAATATACTTGGTAAGATTTTGAGTTTTTGCAGTGAGGCAGAAGAAAGAACAAACAACAAGAACAAATGCAGCCCTGCGGCCTACTACTGCCACCCTCACTGCTGATGAGGCCCACAAGCCCACACTAAGGAAACAACAACCCCAAACTGCAGCACGGAGCGTCACACCACAGGACCTCCCCTCCCTGGACAGCAGTGCAAGGACAAAGAGACAGACAACCCACACCACACAGCTCTCCCCTAACCTACATAACATATGAGGGCTGAGCAGGTGCAGACTGAGAGAGAGCAGCACCCACACACTCCCACAGCCTCACAGGATGGAACAGTAAAATGATCCCGAGCCTGTATAACTGGGAACATACTTCACTGCATGACAGAGTTAGAAAAGCCACATCAGCTTCCCTGCAGCTGAGTGTTGGACATCCTGAACCAACACTCATGTCAGTTACATCCCACTTGGTGTCGTGTCCTCTGGACTGTTTTGAGACACATTTCTGGGAACTTAGCAGAGCGGCTGCTCAAAATGGCAGAGTGGGCTGAGGAAAACAGTGCAGTGGTACTGACAATGCAGCTAACATGATACCTTAAGCAACAAACATCCTGCAGTACTTGTACATCCTTCATCTTTTTGTAAGAGACGTTCTGACGGTGATGAAGCCCACTGTGGGAGCACAGCAGTCACAGGGGAACGACACATGGGCATGCCTCAGTCACTCAAACAGGAGTGTATTACAAGCAGGAACTCAACGTTTCATATTCTCAAACATGGATCCACTCATCTCTGCGCTGGCTGTTATGAATGCCCTCCGCCGCTTGGCTGCGCCTAGAAATCCTGTCCATAAAAATTATGAACAGAACCGGAGACAAAGGGCAGCCCTGGCGGAGCCCATCACCCACCGGGAACGAGTCCGACTTATTGCCGGCAATGCGAACCAAGCTCTTGCAACGGTTGTATAGGGATCGAATGGCTTAAATCCTTTGTAATAAATTGATCTGAAGAGCTGCTTGGGAGCCAACAGAGCCGACTCACTGAGCCATAAGAAGCAGCTCTCTTATTAAAAGAGCCAGAATTCAAATCACTAATAGTTTCCATCACTGTTGAATGAGCTGGCAAAACGTTACGGAGAAGCACTGTGTGACTGTCCAACAGTTGCTAATGGTTTGAATTTACACCTAATATTCACTGAGTGATGTTAGGCACCCACAGTGACACATACACTGTGTCTGTACTGGAAGCAAAACAAAACAAATACCAACAACAGCTTTGCAACATGTACTTCTGTCCATATACTGCCAGTAGTTTATAGTACAACAGTCAGTTATTCTGTGTATCCACAAACACAATCAGACCTCCTGCAGGACAAAGGGTGAAGATGAAGTCACGGCATTAGATGCTGAGTTTGAGCAAAGAGACTAGAAAACGTTATGTTTCATTATTCTGATGCAAATTTGAAATGATAAAAACTGTTCATTTATTTAACAATACAAATACTTACATTTTGAATTGTCTTTTAATATTTGTTTTCCAGGGTTAGAAAAGTGACTCTAACTGAATCAATTTAACCCTTGTGTGGTGTTTTTGTTACTCAGCCAGTGTTCATGGGTCCGGTGGACCCGCTAGAGTTTTAGCTTTCCAATTAACACTATCAAACAATTTTATGTTAAATTACTCAACAGATGTTTACTTCATCCCAATTACGAGCCATGAGAACAGCAAACATGGTTAATTTTTCCCTTCACCTTTGTTCGATCACATTTATGAGTTAATGTGCTTCTCATTTTTTTAATAAAATGTTAGAAAAAATAAAATAAAATCAGTTATAATCAAGTGTAAATATCTTTATACCATATTTTGCAGGTTTTGATGGTATATACTGCCTAAAGGGGCAGCGGCCTCCACTTGGCATGGGTCTCACAGACCACCATACAAGGATTAAGTAGATTTCTATCACTTTCTAATGCATATGTAAAATAACGAATCGGTGACCACACATATAAATGAGCCAGGTCCTTTCATATGGAGCTGTGATGACGACTCTGCTAGTCTGAAAACCACAAGTTTAAACAGTATCCGGGGCTACGCTGCCTCTGGTGGCCACTAGCTGCATATGCCATGTGATCCAGTTCACTAGCCAAGCCTCCATCTTATTAACTGCAAAAACAATTTCTGACAGGGACGAAGGATGATTGCACAAAGAGGAGGAAGGAAAGGTTATCGATTGATTGATTGATCATACTTTATTCATCCTGAGGGAAATTGGGTTAAGGCTGCCAGCTGTGCCGGCGCCATAATCCAGCCTCTTGGTCCAGCTGCTGATCCCACTATAACTGCAGGATCACTGAGTCGGCTGCTGCGTGACCAGCACAGATCCACACACACTAGCAGCTTATTACACAATCAATGAATCACTGCAGAGTATCAATGAATGAGCCTTATCTCGACAGTGAGGACGGAGCTTCTTCATACCTTTATCAACATCTTCTCTGTTGTTGTGGCTTTAACACTTTTTTTCATAGTGTGTAAAGTATGCCAGTCCCAAAAATAGCTCTTTATCTCTCTGTTAAAGTAGTGCAACAATATCTCCCACCATGCTTCTTTGAAAAGTTTTAAATTTGGCTTTTTCTCTTGTTTTTAGCTGTCCCAATTATTTCAACACATAATCTAGAATGCTGCTTTATTTTTATCTCCAAGTCAAACGTGGTGTAACAACATCAAGAAAGCCATGTTGTTCACAGGCAGGAAGCAGTTTCTGTTCTCCTCCCCTCAGGCAGGTTGAAAAGGCCTGAGTCAGAAGACTGACCTGAAAGCACACAGCGACCTGGAACATATATATAAAAATAAAAATCGGGAATAACATCGGAGATCTGTGTCCAGAAGAGCGCAGTCCTGGGAACAGCTAAGATACTGCAGGACCCTCAAGCTCCCAGGCCTCTGGTAGAGGACCCGAGCTTGGAGGATAAACCGCCCGCAGGGGCGAGCTGGGTGTTGTTTACATATTATATATATATATATATATACACACATATACATATACATATATACATATACATATACATATATACACACATATACATATACATATATACATATACATATACATATATATATACATATATACATATACATATATATATATACATATATGTGATTGACATTTAACCTATATACTTATATATATCACACATATACATATACCATGATCTATGAGCATATACGGGTTATTACTCCATCTCTGATAATATACATAATACAGGTATACATCTTTACTTTGTATTACACTAATCTATACATTCCTCTATCACACATCAAGCATTATACCTATCATTATATGAAGATAGACATAATAAAACAATATAATGCAGTTAGTGGTTGGTTACAAGGTAGCATATTAATATAGTAATTTATACTAATAATAATTCCTATAATTATTACACACATATACATCCATTACATAGGTGTGATGATTTACAGATAGACAGTGAGATAATATATAATTACACAGCATAATACAATAACATATATACAGTTAACATGTATACCATAATATATATCATACCCTGTCTCTCTGTGCATAGCCCAAGTTATACATATATATCACTATACACATAGTATACACTATACATATATTAATACTATACACACATATCATATAGCCGAATATACAAACATAGACATATACATACTTATATACATAATATACACTATACATAATACATATACTATACACACCAATACATATACAATATTATTATGGCGACTCTAATTATTATATATATATATAGTATCCAAGGGTAAATATGATATATATATTATACTCACCTATATACTTCTTTACGTTACCATACTAGTATAATATTACCACCACATATACTAATCTCCTTCTAC